GCCGTCAGGAACATTCAAAATCTGAACCGAGTTCTACATCCACCGGAGAAGCGGCGACCAACACCATTGACATGGATCACTTAGCTGTGAAAACTGAGTACTGCTTTTCTAGCTTACTTGAGCTTGCGTCTAACAATGATGTTGAGGTTATTAAACGATATATAGAGCAAGATGCTTCTTCGGTAGAGGAGGTCGGACTTTGGTATTGTCGTGAAAAGGGTTCAAATCAAGTAGTTGCAAAGCATAGAACCCCGTTAATGGTTGCTGCTACCTATGGTAGCTTTGATGTTGTTAAGCTTATAGTGACTCACTCTGCGGCTGTCAACCAATCGTGTGGTGCAGACAAAAGTACTGCCCTTCACTGTGCTGCCTCTGGCGGATCTCTTCATGCAATTGATGTTGTTAATCTACTTTTATCGACTGGTGCTGATCCAAATTGCTCAGATGCCTTTGGACGTCGACCTGCAGATGTTCTTGTAGTACATCCAAAGCTCCAAGGCATGAGAGGTGTTCTGGAAGAACTTCTTTCAGGATGTGTTCCTGATGACCCTTTCGGCAAGCACAATTTACGGATATCCATTGATAACTCTGCTCTGGCTCACTGACCCTTTCTTCATCACTGGAAAATGGATCATCACCCTCTGCTTCAAATCTAGCATCTTCACCAATGGCTTCAAAGTTCGTTGATATACCTGTTAACTCTGCAACAGAGAGGAAAGAGTATCCTGTTGATCCATCTCTCCCTGATATCAAGAACAGCATTTATGCAACTGATGAGTTCCGCATGTTTTCTTTCAAGATCCGACCCTGCTCAAGAGCATACTCCCATGACTGGACAGATTGTCCATTTGTTCATCCAGGAGAGAATGCACGGAGAAGGGACCCCCGTAAGTACCACTACAGCTGTGTCCCTTGCCCTGATTTCAGAAAAGGGTCTTGTAGACGTGGGGATATGTGTGAATATGCCCATGGAGTTTTTGAATGTTGGCTACATCCAGCACAGTACCGCACTCGGATGTGCAAGGATGGCACAAGTTGCGATAGGCGGGTATGCTTTTTTGCCCACACATCTGAAGAACTTCGCTCACTTTATGTCTCAACTGGCGCAGCTGTTGCCTCTCCTCGCGCAGCTGCATCTGCTGCTAGTGTCATGGACATGGCTGCCTTTATGAGCCTTTTACCTGGTTCACCCTTCAGTATCTGCTATATCCCCTGCACCATTTAATCAATCCATGTCTCCATCTGCAAATGGCCTTTCACATTCATCTCCAGCGTGGCCTCAACCAAATGTTCCAACACTTCATCTCCCTGGAAGCAACTTTCAATCAAGTCGCTTGAGATCCTCCCTTAGTGCCCGAGACATCCCACTTGAGGACTTTGATATGTGGTCAGATTTTGATGCCCAAGAACAGAATCTCAATGATTTACCCAGCTTTTTCCAGTCTCTAAACAGTCCAATGTCTCTGAATCGTTCTGGTCGGTCTAGAACATTAACTCCTTCAAACCTTGAAGAGCTATTTTCTTCTGAAATCTCATCATCTACTAGATATGCTGATCAGCAAGTTGCTTCTGCTATATTTTCCCCAACTCATAAATCAGCTTTCCTTAATCAATTTCAACAGCAACAGAGCAAGCTATCTCCTATCAATACTGGTGTTTTTGCACACAAAAACATCGAGCATCCACTGTTACAGGCTTCTTTCAGTGTTGGGTCTCCTGGAAGAATGTCACCAAGGTGTACTGAGCCAATTTCCCCCATTGCTGCTCGCCTTTCTGCACATGCTCAGCACGAGAAGCATCGACAGCAGCTGGCTGCCTTAGCTCCAGGGAACTTGGTTCTAACAATCCTGCTCCTATTGTTGAATCCCCTGTGAATTCTTCTTGGTCCAAGTGGGGTTCACCTAATGGAAAGTTGAATTGGTCAGTTAGTGCAGATGAAATGGCTCAATTAAGGAGATCGTCGTCACTTGAGCTTGGTAAAGGTACTGAGGAGCCTGACTTATCATGGGTCCATTCTCTTGTAAAGGAACCCCAACCTGAGGTGATGAAAGAGAAGCTGGTAGTTCCTGTCCCACACGGCTCATCATCTGGCGAGGTTTCAAATGATTCTAATTCCCAGATTGATTCTATTATAGGAGCATGGATTGAGCAAATGCAGCTTGATCAGCTTGTAGTGTAGTGTAGTGTAGAGAGAAAAAATAAACCCTGGAAGTTGAGGTGTCGTGAAGGATAAACTAAGCGTGGCATAAAGAGTAGGTGGAATTTTTCCGGGAATTTTATTCGAAATTCTTTTTAACCATTTATTGTTACAGCTGCAGCAGATTTCCTGCAAAAAATGGTGTAGGAAGCCTCAGGCGGGGATAATAGGAAGCACTCAAGCGCCTGTTGTTTAAGGTTTTGTACCATTTTGATGTCTCATATTTATTTTCCTTGGATCGGTGAAGAAAAGCCAAGGTAATTGTTTTTTATATGATTTAGAAGTTATGCATTTCATTAGAAGATGCATTTTATGGGATAATATTAGTAATAATGCATTTAATTCTGATATTGTAAAAAACGAGTTTAAGTTATTATTTCAATATCTTTATTTTTTGTCCTATATACATGGTTGTTGTGCTCTCTACCTTTCAACTTTCTCTTCAATTTATGTTGTTATTTTGCCTTGTTCTCCTTGATGGATGATGATTTTGATTTCATGTGTGCACCCAAACATCCCCTCGGTCTACCTATGGAGGAGGGGTTGCATATGTTAAAATTTGTATTTCATATGCATTGTTATTTCATAGAAGAAATTGCATGAATCGGCTGAATTTCTGGTATAGTCCTTCATGGAAATGGAAGTAATTTGGACCAAATTTCCTAAAGATATTGATGATGATGATGGTCTGTTTTTAGGAGAAGTGGGATGGTGTTCCTATTTGTTGTTGATGGCAACCACTCACCCCATAAAAGAAATGGCATTGACAGTGATTTGTAGGGCCAGGGCCTTTAATGGTCGGTTGGGACTTAAGGTTCAATGCTTTGGTTCAAAGCATCATCAAATGTTCTTTATCGTGTTCATGCATGACCCAGGATCCCCTATATATATGAGATCTTGGTGCTTTGAGTATCCTCAAAAGTCAACCAACAAAACTCGATTCAAAAAATTAAACTTTTTAATTTGATTTGATTTGAAAATAACTCAATTCAAATTAATAGATTGATTTTCAGGTTTGATTACCTTTTTTGACAATCGAGTTATAAAATATGAAGAAATACTTTTTTGACAGGCTTTCTTTTAATATATGAAGAAATATATATGTTTTTTAATATATGAAGAAATATATATGTTTTATATATGGTTATAAAAAACTGTTTAAATTCAAATAAAATAGTATCGTCATATTATAAATATTTACAATTAAATTTAAACATAAACTTGAACAACTCGATTCGATTAAAAAAATTCAAATCGAATTTAAGTAATAAAACAGAATTTTGAAACTCGAAATTTTTTGATTCACTTGTTGACGCTATGTGATAAAGTTTGAGCAACCGTACCTGCCATACCCAAGTTACGGCTGCTGTGACCTTCTTGTAGTCCTTGTGAGCAAAAACAGACGCAAGAATTGGCTAAAATTGAAGATTTCAGAAATGATAACCAATCGAAATATCAACATATCCAGGTTTTAGTTTGTTTGCTTTCATTTTATGTTAGTCGGATTTGGGTACATTTTTGGTTATTCCACGCATTCGAAGAATGATCTTAAAGAAACAGCTAAACGCAGAAACGATGTCAGCCAGACCTGTAAGAAGATCTGAAAAGCAGGCATCGATGCCCACAATGTCACACACCAACTACTCTACCTAATAACACAACGCCTGTGACCGGCATTGTTAAACCAGACTCAATAAACCATCCAAATTACAGTATGAAGGTCTCATATACATACGTGTCAAACATGTAAGTTTATCGTTGCACGGATTCTTTTTCTTAAAATATTCATATTCAATATCCATGCCCGACGTGCATGAATATGGAAATAAGATCTTTAAAGACACATGCGTATCAGACATTTATACTGGAGTCTAAATGCTGTCACATTCTGTGTGACATTGTTGCCACCGTTGGCTGCTAGGCTCGGTTCAACGCCGAGGGCTGCTGGCTCACATCGTCTCTGCTTGCTCATGGTTTAGCTGTTGCGGGACATGTATGTTGTTTCCATTCTTATTTCTTCTTCATTTTTGTATTAGTATGGAACGATTACAATGTAGTATTTGTTAACAATTAACAATGCACACCTCGCAAATAATAGTTACTCGATCGGAGAACAATACCACCCTTTAACCACAAAAAGGATTCCTCAATGTAAAAATTTTAATTAACATGAACAAACATTAATATATAATCATTAATTAAAAAATACGTTTTTAATATGGTTTATTGCTTTTTTATTACAATTTATTTCGTTTTACATGCTAATATTGTTCAATGTATTCCCTAATTTGTACATAATAGAGCCTTATTTTTGACGTCTCTACGTACAAATATACTGAAACGCATACGTACAAGATCGTTCCATGTTTCCACTGCCTCTGGTAATCTCCACCGTTTTATTTGTATAATTTCCAGACGTTCAAAATTATGGAAGGACGGTCAAATTATTGTTTTGGTCCCTTTGCCATATTTAAATTTGAAATTCAATCACTGTACTTTAGTTTTGCATAATTTGGTCCCTATACTTTTATAATATTATTAGTTAGTCAAAATTTTAACACCAGTAACTATTTTAATTAAAATGTTTACGTGAATTTTTTCTTAAAAGGGGTGTTTTTAAGAAAAAAATCACTTTAAACATTGTAGCCAAAATATTTAATGATGTCAGCTATCTGAACTAACTAATGACATTATAAAAATAGAGGATCAGAGCATCTTAAATTAAAGTACAGGAAAGTGAATCCCAAATTTGCATAATGGAGGGACTTATACCATTATTTGACCAAAAAGAGAGAAAAAAAGGAAGAAGGAAGCTATTGGAATTGGAAATCAAGGAAATTAGGGAAGGAAGATTCCATCAAACCCTCAAAATCCCATTCTCCCATTCTTAAGCTTTCCCCATTCCAATTACGAATATTATTATCCTCTAACCCAAACATGTCACTGTGATTCTCACCATAAAGTCCCTCACCTATACCACCATGGAATCGAAACTGTGCACCACCACTTATGTCACAAGGGTCGTTGAGCTGTTGATGAGGAAACGGGTCGAATCGGTTTACGGTGAGCATCGACGGGCACAGCATGGATGTAAATGGTGGTGAAGACGACGATGCATCCCCGCCGCATAAGGAGGTGGTCGCCATGATGTCAATGTCGACATGTTCATGCAGTACTGGGAAAATGGTTCCTCCTCCTGCAACATGATCTCTTATCTGTTCTGATGCTGAATCACTGTTGTTTAGTGATGAGGATGTGGAATTGGTGACGGTGGTGTTTTTCAATCTTTTCTTCAGTGTTGAGTTCCAGAAATTCTTTATTTCGTTGTCTGTTCTTCCTGGAAGACGAGCTGCTATTTGAGACCACCTGCAATATATATATATATATATATATATATATTCATTAGAGATTTTTACCTTTACATTACACGTTCAAACCCTAAACGGAGACAAAGTTACCTCAGCCTTGTTTTATCTATCGATAAAATTCGGACTCAAGATCTTATATAAACTACATCGAACTTCTTATCACTTGAACTTTCAACATCTATCCTACGAGTTAGGAACCCTAAACGGGAACAAGTTGTCTCATCTACAAAATTCAGACTCAAGATATTACTCAAGGAACATCAAGTTTCTTATTACTCGACTCAATAAGTATGTATTCATATTTACCATTCAATATGACGTGCATGTTGGAGGTTTAAGTTATCCCTTCCTATAATATCGTCGAACTTATCATTATACACAAGTAACACAACACCTGTTGCTAATCATGGGCTAGAATTAATGTTTAATTTGATTTGGAATATATAATACATACACATATATCATAAAAGAACACTAAAAGCCATAAATAAGATTATTTACCTGTTGCCAAGGATGGAATGTAAGTGAATGATGAGGTGTTCTTCTTGAGGACAAAAGGCACCACGCCTGAGATCAGGTCTCAGGTAATTAATCCAACGAAGACGACAACTCTTGCCGCACCTCTGTAGACCAGCATGCCGAGCAATGTCACTCCAACTCCCTTGCCCGTCGCTCGACATGTACTTCATCAGCTTCTCGTCTTCTTCGGGTGACCACAACCCTTTCCGAAGCTTCAACTTCTTGTCGTTGTTGAATTTGTCTTCTGGTTTCCTCATTTTTGCAGGTCTGGGTCTGGTCTGAGTGGAGCCTCTAGCAGGTTGATTTGTTCTGGTTGAGATGATATATATATATAGGGCAATGGAATGATGGCATGGGGATGAGAGATAAAGAGAGAAGGCTTCATGGGGTGGTAATGGTGATGATGATGGTGATGGTTTGGAGTTTGCTTTAAACTTTGAATATGAATAATATATAATATAATGCAATTTCTATGTAGGTATCTACATGGTTTAATTTCATCAATTACTCAATTACTTTTTATATTTTATATTGATCTTCTTGATTATGTTTTAAAATTTTATATTGATCTTCTTGATTAAGTTTTAAAGCATTAAAATTGTATCAATCAGGATATTCCGTCATTCTAGATATTAAATGTTAGTTCAAATCTAACGTTAAACATATTTAAAACATATATATGAAATCATAAGATTCGTATAGGGATCGATATTGAATTAAGATCAGGACGAGTTTTGACTCGATCGATCCTATAAGGTCGAGTTCTTTTCATTATGAAAACTCATACGTGGATCGGGTCATGTTAGGGCTATTTTTAGAGAAAAAGGTCGAATTAAATTGGAGTTGAGGGTGAAAAATATTTGATCCAACCCGAGATGATAGTATGATTATCCCTTATATATATAAAGATAATTGAAATAATACCACTCTCTTTATATTTTTTTCAATTAGGTCCATATTTTACAGAATAAAAAATGTATATATATCTGTGTCGGTCCATGTATTTTGAATATGTTTTCATATATTTATAGGTACAAAACACGATCATTCAAACCCTAGAAAGAGTATGTACATGTTTGTACGAACACCCAAAATTTTATATAATAAACTTGTGTGGTACATAGAGAGATTCGTCTGCACACATTTTACGATCTTAATTTGAAGACTTGAAAATCTCTGCATCCATTACAAATGGAATAAAACATAATTTGATATGTATACATATGATGGGGGTGCTTGTTGGTTGACGGGAAGAGTGGAGAACGGATTGGAGGGGGACCTGTAGGGCATGGGGACAACCAATGGGGTCGTCTCTTGAGTTTGACTCAATTAATAATGTCTTTTTGGGTACATTTTTCTTCACTCACAAGGTAATCATCATATGTGTCGGAGACACATATTCACCTGTTTGCTTCCACTTCACATAACCCTACACGTGTAGTTGAAGCATAAGCTTATGCTCGGAGATGGACCCAAGTGCATAAGCTTTTACTCGCAGGTAATTTTTTTCCAATTATATAATCAAGATGGTCAAAAATCAACTAATAATATTCACCAAAATTAATTCATATATCATATGAATCATTTAAAATAGTTTTTAAATAAATACTCTATAGTCGACCGAATTTATGGCTATATAAAACTAAATTTTAATATGGTATAGGGACTAAAACCAAATTAGACCAAAAGACTAGAGGAGAAACGTGAATAATATTTAGTATTTGTAGGCGGCTGCGTATGCGGCATGCGCCCCAAATGCCTGCTTTGCATGCTTTAATTAATTTGCAAAAAAAAACATTAAATAATTAATTAAGATTTAAGGTACTAACCAACTCGCCTATCTCTCCTCTCTCAAGGTTTAACATTTTTTTTCCAAATTTTTTACTCGATTGAATACTCATCCCTTACAGATTAACTTCAAAATCAAACTTTAAAATTTTATTTTAAGAATATCTAACTCATTGCTAATGTTGATAGAGCGCAAAACTCTTAACCTTGTAGTCGTGGGATCGAGTCCCACGGTGAACAATTCATAATTCTGACTGCCGGAGGTCTTCCACGGAAGTTGTTCTTAACCTAACGTTGGGGGCCAGCCTACTACCTTACCTCCTCCTCACCCCGTTACATATGAGAATAGGGTCAACTAATTTTTTTTAACTCATTGCTAATGTTGACACAATCATCGTTTAAAAGAATGTTAAAAATGAAGGTAATTTTGTTGAGCGATATTTTAAAACATTTTAACGTAAAATATTATCTTGTTTAATCTATAAAATTATACAAAATTGTAACATTTTTAGTTGCAACAAAAAAGTAGAGATTAGGATTTGTCACCGAAAATTTTATAAAAAATATTTTGTTACAATCGAAAATATTACTCTTTTCCAATTTAAAAAATTATTCTCTTGATAAGATTGTTCATTATAATTGATTTTTGTAATTTTTAACCTTATATTATATAAGAAGTTGTGTTTTAGAATTTATGAAACATGAACCTAGGCCTAGAGTGTTTGACTGCTATTTACGCCATCCCCCATGGCCGGTAACTCAAACAAAGTGAAGTACATTACAGTACCAAAAAGCATTCTTTTCCTTAAAGTCATCGTTTTGTTAGACACCAAGTATTATATAATATAAAAGAAATTAATATATTATTAGGCCCTCCACGGTAAACGTATTGCATAAGCCCCTGTATTATAGGGCAAATTACATTTTAGTCCATTCTATTTTAAAATGAACAAAGATGTTTCATAAGTGTATGTTGCCACATTTGTCGACGTCTTAAGGATTAAAAATGAAAGAGATGTAAAGTAACAGAGACCAATTTCAAGCATAAGAAAAAAATTTCTTGCTAACTTATGGTGTAAATAAGAGCCAAAGTAATCGACAGCTTACCACGACACCGGGGAAGTGGCCGGCTTTGGCCAAAAAATTCTTTACTTTTGGCAGAGCATGAGTTTGTCAAATTCGTCAACATCTAAGCTCGACATTAACTGTAATTGTTCGAAACATCCAAGGACGAAAATGCAATCCAAGCTATGATACAGGGACCTGTACAATACTTTTACCACCCTAAGTTCATCTATTGATATATAAACAGATGATATTGACCCCAGACAAAGGAATTATTTATCAGTAAGGTTTCACTTTCACATGATCAAAGCCAAAAGTGTCACCAACAATCTACTACATACACTAATTTCATATATTGACAGCAATTGCCACAATTTTCAGGCAAAATGCGAGTACAAAACTCTCAAGCGACTCTAATATATTTCGAAAGTGATCGATTTTATCATGAAAGCTAATGAAACAAAGTTTTAAAGAAGAAAAGATGCCAACCTATGATTACTCTCTTAATGCTTGTCGGATTTCGTTGTCTTTAAAGCCTTGATTCTTGACCAAATACTTCGTTGTTGCAGACGGGGCATACCTAACAAAACACCCTTTTTAGATCGGCGGTGTAAGTCGGAGAGATACCGAATCAAAGCATGTAGTGTAGATGTTATGTAACATTAAACTGACCTTGTTGATGCTAAGCCATTTCATGATGCATTCCTAGTGGTAAACGTGCTTGCATGGCAATTTCATTTGTTGCTCACCTATTTTGTACCTCGTCTGGAATATAACACATCTGCTGTTTCACGAGAAAAGCGAAATGATCACACGGAAGACGTACCATCGAATGGGTAGCTATGAGGATGAACTTTTAAAACGAGGAAAACTACAAACTAACCCTGAGACTACATTGAGAAAATCACAAACCCTTTCATGAGATGACCAAAACCGCAATGTTTATCTTGTGTATTGTCTTTGAGTCCGTATGGAAAGTATTTTCGGACATGGAAAAGACTACCAACTAACTTTTTTCTCCTAGAAAGATAAATCGGTCCGTCTCGGATGTTGCAACCAATATAATTTAGTTATTCAGCAAGCATCTTACTTCCACAATCTCAACCCTCAAGTACCAAAAAAGTTCTGGTTGAGGATAAGAACAGAGAACACTTAAATCTGTTTAAAGCTACCAAGAAAAAGATTTTTTTTTATTAAAAAAAAGATAATATAGTTTTGGGGCTTGAGACAAAGGCCGTTAGAAAATTATATGAGTTCGGAGTTACAACGGCCAGTTAACAGCTATAGTTTAACAAATGCGGACATTGTTCAACAAAATAGATACAAGTAAAAGTTTTACCTCTCTCTAGACTTTTTCCTTAATAAGAAACTTCCAAACTTGCATCTTGAGGTTGGAAGCAATTCAATAAGCTCACGGGATAGACCCCGACTTTGACTTCCAAGTGCCTCGCCTAAATCGAGCAATTCCTGTCATACAAAAATCATGTAGCTAATCAATGGCATTGGTACAAGCTTTGGCTTAGTTAAATCCTAATCCAAAAGACTCTGCAAAAAACTTAATATTGCATATGATTTAACTTGAGAGAGAGGTAAACACATACACATCCGTCTTATATGAAGTGCAAATGCATGTAATTTAAACATTAAAGCGAGATTAGCTGAAAAGGAAAACCTCATGGGTCATGTTATCTGGGTCGATATTGTCTTGCCAAACCACCTGAGACAACATATGGCAGGTAATCCTTTGATCAGTAAATAATATAGATTCTAGGATTTAATGTTTGCAACTAGGTTTAAAACGGAATGATACGCAAAATCAAGAACAAAAATTTAATCAATGTCCTTCAAATATGGATTATACTAGAGGTACGGCTCAAAAAGGTCAACAAATGCAGGCATATTTGATAAAGAACAAGGGTTATATTTCCCCCTATTATTATCCATGCCACTGCTCAATCTTGATCATAATCTTTGGCTTCTGTTTTCCGATGAAAGATTTTGAGTACTAAGGCGATAAACTTGTAACGAAGACCGAATTTTGATCAGGGCAATAGTTGGATTTCATTTCGTAGTCCGGAAGATTTGGTAACTTATATACTATTCCTTTCAATTGAGAATCTAAATCAGATACATGAGAGCAAAATGCTCAAGCACATGCAAAAAAAAAATGAATAACATCCCAAAAAACAGAAATCGGACCTGAGAATTACTATTGCTTTGATGATTTGGAGTGCCTGCAAAAAATAAACAAATGTTTAGGACTAAAAATGTAGGTAAAAGGGGAAAATATATATTAAAACATATTCTAAACTAACATTCTTCAGGTATAGCATGCATGCCCACAACTGCATCTCCTCCAGTAGGCACATCTAAAATTGCAGGTTGTTCAGAATTATATGTCGATGGGTAGTCCCAAGTCCTCGGGGAATCCGTTCTTGCCAAATGATCATTTACCTCATTTGGACAGTAAAGTGTACTCTCTGGACCCGAAACCCCAAATTTGTATGCATTCATACTCATTGACCAGTATATATTTTCCTGAACAGAGAAGAATATTACCATTTAGTCATATTTGTGCATGAAATGAGTAGGCGTGCACATCATGAATCCAAAACCAAGCAACGGAGTGATGTCTTAACAGACAAGCGATTTAATGATCAAATGAATAGTAACAACATTTACATTAATAAACCATATGCTGATAAACTAAATCTTCCAACTTTTTATTGAAAAGGGCCACAACTAATCATGCTTTATTTAAGGACATAAATCCATAAGAAATGAACATCGACCAATTGTAAAAACTGTTACGGGACAGACGATGTATATCCTCCCTTCATGACGGGGATGAACTGAGAGGGGGCTGTCGTCCCTGAAAATTTAAATTTCTCATATAATTGAGGTATTTTCTTTATATTTTATATTGGTTGTTTTCGCCCCGAAAATTTTATAAATTTCCCCTCGCATAAAATCATGTGTCCCTCCTTGCTCAAGGATTGGGGATGACACGGGTGTACGTGTTGGAAACAGGTATATTCCTACACGGATATGATTGAACAGCCTAATCAAACATCATTGAATTCTACAACACCAACAACAAGTGTCTTTTTTTATTTCTTTTCCCATCAAATAAAAGATTAAAAATATGAAAAATACCTGACCATACATCAGTCCAGCATGAGTGTAATTCACATGAACATGTGCTAGACCTTCAAAAAAGTCCATAAAGCTTTCAGTAGCAGTATAAGGAAAGCCTGAATCTATAAAATGAACCTCCATTTGCCTGTTCTCATTCATTTTTAACCTTTTTTTATCTGACCCCCAATCCTCTAAGCTGCAATTAAGCACAATGTTAATATCATAATCAAAGATCATTCAAACAATGTTAGTGCAAACTGCAAGCTAAAACTCAGTGGCACTGCTTCCGTATCAAATCATATGAAACAAAGGCTGAGAATGGTAATTTGCATGGATAAAAGCATCATTAATCACAGCTCTTTTCATCTCTCTGCAAAACCAAAAATTATTAATAAAAAAAAGAGAGAAAGAAAAGAAACCTTTGATTAGTCCAACAAATGGGGAAATGAAGCCACGCCCAGATTTTCTTTTAATGTATATATTACAGAGAAAATAAACATAAGCAAGAGATTACAATTACAGAAGGTTTTTTGAGATATGGCAAGTAAATAAAGGAGTGGAGGAAAAGGAAAGTGGTGAAGAAGTGATTTTTAATTGATGATGTGACTGAAATTACCCACTTTGAGATTTAAAACAAAATCAAAAGTTAAGATAAAAGCCAAGAAGAGAGACAGAGAGAGTGAGCGAGCGAGAGAGAGAGAGAGAGAGTGAGCGAGCGAGAGAGAGAGAGAGAGCAAAGTTTTAGAAGCTGAAGAAACTGTGAAGCTCTCTTTTCTGAATTTTCTCTTTGTCGGACAGTAAAATGTGAAGGTGAAGAAAAGCGTTGCATTTGTGTTTATTGACACGTGAAAATGCCCATTTAAAAAAATTTAGACTTTTTTTATTATTATTATTTTTAAGAGGTAATTTTACCTTACACCCCTCAAACTATAACTCTCATTTTATATTAATCTTCAAACTTTTAAATATTTTACATTCCTCCCCAAATTATGATTCTTATTTTATATTGATCCCCAAACTTTTGAATGTTTTAATAGCATCCCAAAAATTATTCAAAGTTTGGAGATGAAAATTTTATATTTGAAATTAATATTTATTTGCCTCTTAATTAAATGAAAATATACACTTGTTGGTTCTTCTAAAAATAATAATAACATAAAAGTTTTAACTTGGTCTCCACCCCAAAAAAAATTAATTTCATATCAGTCCTTAAAAAAATAAATATTGAATTCATCCCAAAATGGATGGATAAAATTAGAGATAGTAATTTGACTTAAATTTGAAAGAATTTGATTATACTCGATCTTATAAGATCGAGATTTTAAAAACAAAATCAAATTTATGTTAGGTCGATTTAAGATGAAAAATTCCTCTATATATTTAGGGATAAATGCTACAATACTCATGTTTCTATAATTTTTTCAATTAGATACCTATTTTATCAAATAATAATAATAATAGCTTTTTTATATTTATTTAGGTTGGGTGCAAGCACAAGTTTTTACCGTAATATTCAAATTAAGCTTTAAGTTGAATGAAACTTTACCAAATATAAATCGAATCGAATTTAAAGTAAATAGAATATACTTCTCAAGTCAAATGAAACTAGTCTTGAAATTTGACCGATAATCACCCTTTTATAAAAAAATATAATTAATTTTACTTTTGTTACAACCGTTCCACCCACCAATTTACTTTTATTATTTATCATTTATTTTTTGAGAATATTTATTATTTATTACAAAAAAAGAAGAATTAGAAAATAGCATCAAACCAAGTGGGTGGAGGATGAATGAAATAGGTGAAGAGTAGAAATGTGTGTTTCTCTTGTAGATGAGTATGTAATGAAGAAAAGTCAACATTGAAAATAAGTCATGGTTAGGCCACTGGCTTCGCTCAACTACTCATAAGTTATAACTCATCTTCCAAACCAATCTTTCACTAGGATAAGGAATCTTTAGTTGGAAGGAGTAATGAAGAAATTTTAATGTTAAAAAGGAGCTATGGCAAAGGCTCCGTCGCCTTAAGATAAAAAATGAAGGATAAAACCAGGCACATTATTACCACCAGTAAATAAAAATCCATTATTTCAATTCTTAAAAGCAAAGCAAAAATACGAGATGGGTACTCAAAATTTCCAAAAACAAAAATCGTTTAGGGAGTTACTCCCCCAAAATCTGAATAATTAATGAAATTTTGCCAAAATAAATTTCTCAGGTCGTGTTTTTCATCGCCATCTTTAAACCTAAAAAAACGCAATAAAAGTAGGGAGATATACCATCAACCCAAAATTAAGCACCACCAGATCCGTACTTCTTTCCGAAAACAATGAGCTGCAACTTGTCGTATCCGGCAAGCACACCAGCGCCGGCAATAGCACGAAGGATGTTAGCTCCTGCACCTTTAAACAGAGACTTGGCACCCTCGTTTTTCAAGATCTGAGAGAATGCATCGAGAGAGCTCTTGTATTTGACGGCTTCGCCGGATGTCATCATCATTCTTCTACGAACGGTGTCGATCGGGTAGGATGCAAGGCCAGCACCATTGGTTATCAGCCAACCGAGGGCGAAGCTAGCAAAGAAACTATCCTGTAATTATCAGAGGAAAACAGAAAGCAATATGTCATTACAAATAACTGCAGATAGAACTATTATCAATGACATTAACTTTAAACATCATATTGACCTGCATATTGCCAGTGAGAACCACGGGCTTCAGAGAATCGTACATTCCGAAGTAGAGACCACGATAAACAATGATTCCAACACATGAGATATTAAAACCACGGTACAGACCAGCAATGCCATCGGATTTCAAGGTCTTCCTGTAGACATCAACAAGGCCATTGAATTGCCTCTCTCCTCCCTTCTTAGCAGCCTTTGCATCATTGGCAAGACGGGTTCGAGCATAATCCAAGGAGTAGACAAAGAGAAGGGAAGAAGCACCAGCTGCACCTCCAGATGCCAAGTTTCCAGCAAACCACTTCCAGTAACCATCTCTGTCTTTCTTAAAGTTGAAAAGCCTCTTGAAGTAATCCTTGAAAGCAAAGTTCAAGGCCTGTTGCAAAATGAACAAAAGAATAAGCATAAAACATGTATAATAAATATAATTGAACGAAGAAATCAAAAGTTAAAATGGGTAACCTGAGTGGGGAAATAACGTATGACATTGGCAGTGTTTCCTCTCCACAAAGAACCAAAACCTTCATCCTTGATTGTTCGCTTGAAACAATCACCAATGCCCTTGTAGGGTTCAGAGAGCCTACCAGCCTTGATCATTTCATCTTGGTTCTGAATCAAAAGCTTAACACGTTCAATCGGAGCAGCAGCAGAAACTCCACCCATGAGGAAATCAATAGCAAAACTGGTAAATCCTTTCTCTGCAGGGGCTTGAACACATATAGCAGATGCTGTCGATGGAACCACAGAGAGGTCACTGGTAGCTCCAGAAGCCCAGACAGCAGGATACTGCAGTGCAGCATTGGAGTAATTCCCGTACACAACACGCCTTTGGTATGTAGCAGGCCTCCTGAAAGACCCACCATAGCCTTGGAAATCTTGAGCATGGCTAGAATGAAGGAGCTGGCCGGCCACCTTCTGCATGATAGTTGGGTGTTGAACCTGATCCATTCTGATGCCAGAAAGTACATTAGAACATTAAAATACATAAAAAAAAAACGAGGTAGAATTGCATAATACCAATTACCAACTGAGGCAAAATCATCTTCAAACATATTAATGTTTCAACTCATATCAACAGTGAAACAGTTTGATATGATCACGGATCACGAATATGAAAATAATACAAGTATATAACCAAGAAAAACAAATTTCAGCAAACATCAGGCAGAATCATATTGATTCCTAACAAGCATAAGCAAAAGGGGTGAATCTGGATAAATTCAGGTGAAATCTGGAAGAAATGACGCAATTCCACGAGAACAAAGTAGTACTAGAAGAGAGAAAATGACATCAGAAACAAATTAAGGATAAAGGAACTTGATCATCGTACCAATTCTAATCAGAAACGGAGTAAAAAATCATCTAAAACGCACTAAACATATCAAAATCTCCCACTCAAATTACAGCAGATAAAATTCAATATTACAAATAAATACATATATATTGCCTCGTTTTAGTGTTTGAAAAGGCATAAGCAGCCGCTGATATGAAGGTAATGACACGATCTATTTCAAATATCAAACGGAGTGTTTCTAAAAGTGATAGAAAGCAGCAGCAGCATCAAAAACAAAAATAAGAGGATCAAATTAATTCAACTGCAAATGAGCGTCTGATACCAATCAAACAGAATTTCACAGCACCGATTTCGATTTGCTAGAAAGTGAAGTAAATATCAACAGATCTAATTAATCAAGCGTAAACTTGACAAAAACAACACGTTGATGATAGTTCAGATCAAACGCACGCAAAGAAGTCATTTCAAAACATTCAACTCCATTTCTCCACGTATTACCAGCAGCAGAAAACAATCAGATCTAAAAATAACGAAGAAGAAAAATAATGGCATAGAAACAATATAGATTAAAAAAGCAATAGAACAGTTATGAACTAGAACAGATCTGATATTAAACAGTTTGCTTGATTTGAAATTTGGAGAGAAACTTACCTTCGAAAAGAGCGTGATTGGTTGAAGTGACGGATTGTTGGAGGCCTCGGCGCCTATCCCTGATTTTTGTGGATAAAAAGGCTTTGAAAAGTGCGGACCGTCCTGCCATTTTATTGGGTCTATAAATAAAAAAGTTGAGAGCAAGTGGAGGGAAACTCTAGGGTAAGGAGGGCACGCCGCTCACGCCACGTGAGGATTTGACGGTAAGCAAGGTGGGATAATATTTGGATTAAATATACATTTGGTATTTGAATTAGTCAATTTCTTTCAAACTGATACTTAAAGAATTTTGGATAAACATCTTGAATCACTAAACTATAGAGTTGATTCTATTTTTACCATTGAAATAAAAAAAATCCAATTACACCACTTAATTATTAAAATGCTACCAATCAAATTTTTAGTAATTAAATGTTAATGAAATTAATGACATGGTAGTAAAAAATGTATAATTCATATTTAGTCTTCATCGGTCATTAGTTACATATTTCCTAAATCTGATCTTAACTTTAATTTAACTCAGCAATTTTAATATTATAATTAAATAATGATGTGACATGTATTATATCACCAATTGAACATATATAAAATGTCACGTCATCGATATATATTGATAGTTAGTCAATCAATATATTCCTTCTAATAGTTGCTATTTTGACAAAAAAAATTAAAACATTGAAAATAAAAGTGTTAAAAAAATAGGAGCCAAAATGGTTATTTAAACATTTTTTAATTAACATGATAGTTATTATATTAACTGTTAACAACTGGTGATCTGATTGATAGTAGTTTGATAGTTCAATAGTATAATTGAATTTTTTTTAATTTGGTGGTCAATATATATATATATATATATGATGTGCTAGGGGAAATAGTCAGATACAAAGCTGCAACTGAATTTAGAACCTGACAAACATTAGTTGTACTCGAAGCAGAAAGCAAGTGTCAATTGGCTCAAAAACGGTGATAACAGCACGACCTTGCAAATACTTCACCACATAATTTTGATAATATCAATAAATAATCGTTTATTAAAGAAAAAATCTAATAATATGTGAATAATAATGATAAATAAAAAATAAATATCGTGATAGTTTTTATGAGAGCATCAAAACAACTATAAAGATATGTAAAAAATTATCAAAAGTTATAAAAAAAAATGTGTCACAATAGTAGACAAAAATGTCATAAGAGCATATCATAAT